GTGCCAGGAAAGATATTAGATTTTCTAGAAACAGCAGAAAACCTTAAAATTTGATAGAAATAAACTTTAAAAAAAACTAACACAGAAGGGCAGTTCTGTGAAGCCAAACAGTTTTTTGTAATCTTCTCCCTGAAGTGTCCACAACTGAAACATTGAGCCATTCTGCTAGGATTGCAAAAAAACCTAGAAGTGACATCAGTGAGAAACTGACAAAAAAGAAAAATGATTAGACTGTGTTCACAGGCCAAGGCAAGAGAAATATAAAAAAGAAAGCTAACAACATACAGTAAGCTAGTAGGCCCGCTCACCCACCAGAAGATGTGCCCCTTTCTTCAGGGACTGAGCTTTATTACTCCAAACAAGAAAAGCTTATAAAAAATTTGTAATAACATCATGGAAAATAGTGCTAGAAAATATCTGAGAGATCCATCCCCACCACCCTGAGCCCCAAGATAAAATCAAGTAGCCTTAAACCATTCCTGACACACATTTATCTAACCTACCACACACAAAAAAAACAATACTGGTGGAAGTACAGCTTTGCCCATATATGTATGACTACTCTAAAGACTTCTGTCAACAAAGTTAGATGACTTATGGATCACATCTCTTCATACCTTTGACCAACTCTGCCAGGCTGGCTTAAGTTTGGGGTGGAGCCTTGGCCTCTATGGTTCAGGTGTAAAGCTAGGTTTTATTCCTACCTGTACTGGTGACTTTACTGAAATAGTCAGCCAAATCCTCAAAGGAAATTTGGCGTCTCAGCACCACCAACCTTCTAGGCACCTGGACACCGGATGGAATCCAGAGCCCCAAGTTATAAGCATGAGCTCCCTATACAGTCTGATGGGGAGAGTCTCTCAGAACAGCATACCAACACAAGGGGAGCTGCTTAAGAGAGGAGTCGATTCTAACCCTGGAGAGGACCAGGACTTAGACACCTACCTCTAGTTGAGATTGACAACCCTGACTTCCTCTTGAGGTCAGGCACTCAGGTTACTTCTATCTTCTCTTTAAACATAACTGGTGCAATAGCAAGTGGTTGTGCTCCCCCCCAACCTCCACCCAGGGTCAGGAAGATCCAATTCATCCACTTCCTCTGGCAGAGAGAGTTCAAACCTACTTCTCCCACCAATCAGGAGGAAGTTGGGCTGTGCTGTGGTGGGTGCACTCCCCACCCCTCCTGTTGAGGTTGTTCCACTACCTCGGCAATTAAAGATTAGCTAGACAAGAGAGGGAGCATGACTGGTTCCTAGTGGTTAGGACACTCACCTGGGAAGCTAATGCATTTTAAACTCAGAACTGTTCCATATAAAAAACAAACAATCCCAGCAGCTTGGACCAGAGTCCAAGTCTTTTCCCTCCCTGCAGCTACTAAGCCAGTGTTATGCTCCCTTTCTCTCTGGCATTTAATTATGCCTGGCAAAGTAGCACAGACTCAAGCAGAGGGGTGAAGAGGGCCCCACCCAAGTACAGTTTACTGCCTGTTAGGGCACCCCCTGGGAAGGAAGGAAAGAGATGTAGATTTGAAACCTCAGCCAGAAGAGGGAACTAAACCTGTCTCCCACAGCCTGGGTAAGGGATCTAACAATGAGGCTGTTGTATAAACAGAGAGTAGCAGCAGCAGCAAACCTCAGGTGAAAGAGTATTATATAAGGCCACCAACTCCTTATATGGCTGATGGTGACTAAGTGAACCACAGCTGTCCAATGATTTAAATGCAAGGCAGTGCCCCTCATCCTCCTATCAATATATTTGAAATAAGAAGTGCAGCCTTTTCATGGTTTTACGAACTAAGTAGGATTACATCCTGTATATTGCCCATGGAAAACTGCTATTTTATAGGGAACTGTCTTCGAAATCACTAGTAGTGCAGGGCTTTAAAATCAATTTTTTCTCCATATATATCCAGATACCAGAAGACTGGTATCTGCCTACAAGACTCATCAATTCCCTTCTCTTTTCAACTTCCCAACTCAACATACAGCAACAGCTACAGTAATTTTTTTCTGGATCTTGCCAGTTGAAGCATAGTTACTTCCTTCTCTGTAGCAAAGAATGTTGCGAGATTCATTTGCTGAAGTATGTGCATTTTCTAAAGCAGTTTAGGAGAAAAAAAAAAAGATGTGAGAATGAAGCCCCTGCCTTCACTTGAACTTTATTAGGTCTGTAACATACACTGCTGTTCAAGTGGCCATTCAGCAACTACCTCTGAAGAATAGTCGATATACAATTAAACCTTAATGACTTCAACTTCACTTATCCAAAACCTGATCCTAAACACAATTTTCAGGCAAATCTGATAAGACAGTTTTACCTACTGTTGCTAGAATTGAGGAAGCTGCTCATACCAGGCATGTAAAAGTGTATATGCACAAGCAGAGTATCTGGCCAGCAGGTTTAAAAGGCTACACATAAGCTTAGACACCATGACTGCATAATCCAGAGGCTAACAATAGCTATCCTAATCATTCCACAGTTTCAGGGACCTTGAAGAGCTAATAATCACAGACCTTCTCTATTTTCTGAAAAGGAAATAAACACAGAACTTTTTTTTAAAACCAGATACAGACATTTAACTAGATTTCATAACAAGCCCCAAGTACAATGCATTAGCTCTTGTGTGTACGTATCGGAGCGCTTTTTGTGCTAAAAATAGGTTGAGTCCTGCCAATTCAGGGCTTGCTCAGCATCATAAAGCTGCAATGCCCAAACAACGTATCTGCTGCTAACCAGGACCCAAGTGCACCACGAAAGTGGAGAAACATCTGAAAAGACTGTGCGAAACAATCATTTTCTGAACTGAAGGTCTTTCTTTGTGTACTTAAAAGCTGTCTAGTATTTCTGCAGCATTTCAGTGGAAGCCTTCCTGTATCCCTTGTTTATGCTCCTCCGTTTCTCTTCCTCTTCAGCTGAACGTGAACTATGTCGCTGAATCCTGTCCCACACAAGCAGCGTGGGCCTGCCTGTGACAGGCGCGCCACAAGATAAGCCCTGCACCATCTGCGGACACTGTCATCCCCTTTCTCTGCCAGATGTGCTGCTCTGCTCCCCGCCCGCGCCCTGCCTGCTCCCCCACCTTCTGCTCCCCGCCCGCGCCCTGGCTGCCGCTCCGCTTTCTGCTCCCTGCCCCAGCTGCCGC